ATATAATTTACAATAGTTTATGTGAATTACAGAGATTAAGGCTAATAATAGGTTTCCTTCTTTAATAGATTTTGTGAACATGCGAAAGGATTAAATAAAATTAACAAAATAAGATCAAAAACAAACAATACCTTTTTTAACCGGTCACTAAGACTTTTGGAATAATGATTTAAGATACGGAGTCAGTTTTTTTATGGCATAACCGGATCACCTGATGGCGAGCAATCGGCGCCGTCATCCGAAACACCAAGGCGTTACCGCCCTTTTGGGAATCGGGAATTTGAATATTGTGGATTCGGGGATTCGCGAGACTGGGGGGGGGGGGTTTATTGGGCCTCCGGTAACCTCACACACACGACGAAACACAACTCAAGCGTTGTTTCACGTCAGTTTTCTGTACGTTCGTTCTTTTATACAATAAAAATGACCAATAAATAATTTCCGATATTAGTATAGTTTTATTTCATTTGAATGGGGATTCAAACGGTATAAAAATTAAATAATTATCTTTTTATAGTTTGCCCAAACTGTAAATTTAAAACTATAACTCTTGGGTCCTGTTCAGCAATCGCACTTGGAAGCTGCTAGCTACCAGCGAGGTATTCAAAATATTAAGGTAGATAGATATTTAAAATATAGCTTTTAAAATTAAAATCCAAGTGCCAATTTACTGATTTCTTTAATTACAATATTTATCAATTTTAATTAATTAAAAGTTAATAGAAACACCCTGTAAACAAAATTAAAACCTATTTAAATTCCAAGTTCCTTATTTGTACTTTCTGATCCTGTTTACTCACATATAAAACGGGAGACGTAAAGATGTAAAAACCAGTCGAATTGCGAACCTCCTTAAAGGAATACGGTCAAAAATGGGGACTGAATTAATATTTCTATTAGTTTTAGCGATTGGGGTAGTAAACATGCAGGAATATTTACCACCACCGTATTTTGCGCAAATGTTACCATCAGCTCCGAAACCAGTAGCTCCGCAAGAACCAGCGTCACCGTCATCGAACCCGAATTTATACTTGCCTCCACCACAAGGACCATTTTTCAATGGTAATAATATTTTTTTTAAACATGTACCTATTAGGTACATTGTAAAGATTTTTGTTAATAAGTAGTTTGAAGGCGCTTATCTCCTCTGCTACTACTTCAAAAATATTATTTTGTTTTTGATATTGTGTTTGATAGTCCATTTATTCAGAAAGGTTATATGTTTTTTTTTAAGCGGGGAAAATCATCGATTGACTGCTCCCGCCCGGGTGAGGCGGAAGGGAGTGTCAGACTCTTACTGACTAAAAACCACCCCGTTCCTTCTCCTGCACGTCGAGCCGGAGCCCCGGTTACCCGTTAGGTTCTCCGCGACTCCGAATCGGCAACAGCCATATTGGGCCCCATCTGTGGTGGTCTGATGGCTCTTTGAGGCGCGCGCGGAACGCGACGCGCAGTACGCTCGGGTCTGTTTCTGGTCGGACGGGGAGCCACCCATGCTCGCCGTCCGCAGTCCCGCGCTTACGGTGGCCGGAGATCGTCCCGCGATCCCCGACGCCCGGTGTGTCCTTCGCGATGGCTGGGTTGCGAGGAGGCAGCGAGTAGGAGTCGAACAGTGAATAAAACGGCGCAGAAGTAGTTACTGTACTTTAACTAATAATGATGCTGATGTTAAAATTTTAATCCAAATCAATACGTAACCGATTTCAATCAATTTTGTCTTTACCCATCATATATAACATTTAACATAACATAACAATACGCCTTTTATCCTCAAAGAGGTAGGCAGGTGCACATTACGGCACTTAATATCGCTGTACAATGTAACACTCACTTTTCACTATTTATGTTATGTTATGAGCCTACAGCCGCGCACAATTCCAGATTCCGTGCTACTATTGAAAATTAAAAAATAACCAGTAAATCTTTGCCCGCAGTCACACTTGCGACAACTCGGTCGATGAGGTAGTCCAAGATAATTATTTACGTGAGCCTTAGCACAAATGCATAGCAACATATTTCACTAAGTTAACTAATAGCTATAAGTAATTTAAACTGTCAAACACCGCACGGACACCGGTGACCACAACATATTGTTCTATAATGACGGTACTCGAGTTAAGTGTTTGTCTTTTTTTGCGAATACCGCCACGTACTTACTTTTTTATTATATTCTGTCTATGCTATCGAAATATAGCTCTCAAATTGTTGGAAGATATTGTAATTCAAAAATTCCTTATAATCCCCCAACAATAATATTCCTACTTTTTATTTCAGGCACAAGCACCTACAGCGCCCCAAGCCTGCGACCATCACAAGTAATTCTATTATACAATAAAAAGTTGAAATAAATAATTTGTGTTATTAGTATAGATTTATTTTATTTCAATGGGGGCCCAAACGGTATAAATCTATTTCTATACTATTATTATAAAAAGGAAAGATTTGTACCTATTTTTTGTATGTTTGTAATGAATAGGTTCAAAAAGTACTGGGCCGACTTAAAAAATTCTTTCACCAATAGAATGCTACATTCTTCCAATTTGACATAGGTTACATTTCATTTCGAAAAAAAATTAGGGATCCTTGGTAAAATTTGAACAATGTAACCGAAGGTGTAGAAAAATGAATCTTAAAATGTCTTTCGTCGAATGCGCTGCCGAAACTATTAGTGATAGAACAAAATAATGAGCAACAATATTGAAGAACATCATAATGTCTACAAAAAACTCCGCGGTAGCATAATTATGTCCAACTATTGTAGTTATGTCACTACAACAATCCAAATTTCAAAAAATAAATAATTGTCTACCCCGTGCGAAGCCGGGACGGGCTGCTAGTATTATATACAAAACTAGCTGTGCCCGCGACTTCGTCCGCGTGGGATAGTGATTCACAGCTCCTCCCTCGTATATGATAGCGTGATAATATGTAGTCCATATGTTGAACCGACCTGTTAGTACTATTCATGTAAAATTTGAAGTAAATCCATACAGTTCTTTTTGAGTTTAACCCGGACATAAATACCGACGAAAACAAAAATTCTAAAAACCATATTTTTGGCTATGATATTTATTGTAGATCACGTAAATATTTAATTTTTTTTTGAAAGAAAAAACATTTATTTGACAATTAAAACACAAAACAAAGACTATAAAAAAATAAAAATACAGATATATAAAAAAAAATACTAATAATAGACTTAAAAGAATAGACATTAGAACAAAAAACATCACAGTGTAACAATATAATAATACGATAATAAAAGAATTTTGAATATACAAAAAAAAAAAACAAATAAGCAAAATAGTAATATTAATTTGCGCGTGCTCATGCCAAAAGGACCTCCACCTCAGCATACAGTTGGTTTCTGCCCAACGCTGATTATAAATAACTAGCTTTTGCCAGCGGTTTTGCTTGCGTTCTCGGGGGTAAAAGATTCCATGAATTACTTCAGAAGTCCAGACCATAATCTATCTACCTGTGTTCCAAATTTCAGCCGTATTAATACACACAAACAGATAGACAAAAGTTCTTTTTAATCAGATTTTATGGTTCGGTGGTTATATGGCATGTCGTACCGTAGCACGTGCTAAAGCACCGATCCCTCGCACTCTGGCCGCGCTTAATGGTCTCTTGGATTCCAATCCAACTAGTGATCTGTTTGCGGACGGATGGAAGGAAATTTTATCGGAATGCCTGAAGTACTGCGAGAGGAACTAGGAGTATGAATGCTACCATTTTTTAAATAAGTTTTACTCTTCTGGTTCGTTGTGTATGTATTGTTCTAGTTTTATTCATCGTTTATTTTATTAATGTGTCCAGTTACTTTAATTGGTTTTTGTCTTCAACCGTTGTGACTGTAATAAATAAATAAATAAATAAATAAATAAATAGCAAGCCCCTCCCCTTAAGATTATTTCTTTAAATATTGAATGTACAGAATTTACACTTCTACAGTTTTATTATACGTATATATTTGAGGATTCCAGAAGAGGAGACGATGTCGCGGAGAACCTAACGGGTAACCGGGGCTCCAGCTCGACGTGCAGGAGAAGGAACGGGGTGGTTTTTAGTCAGTAAGAGTCGACACTACCCCGCCTCACCCAGGCGGGAGCAGACAATCGATTATTATCCCCCCTTAAAAAAAGGGCCTCTGGTAGCCACACTCACGCCCTCATACAGCGAAATACAACGCAAGTATTCATTCACGCCAGTTTTCCGAGAGCTCATCGTACAACTACAAAATAAACAAAACTATGTCAGTTTAATATCAGAAACATAACGAAATAATTATGTGAGATAGGCTATATAATGTAAATATGCGTAAATATTATTATTACAAAAAACCCACACAGGGTCGGATTAGGACAGCCTGAGTAGGAACCTGAGAAGAAGCCTGCACGTACACACGACCACACAGCGAGCTTTACATAACCAGTATAAACTGAACGTTAAATATGCGGAAAGATGATGCGACGCGACACCAGGATAAACTGGTTTTGTATATATTGATGTGTGGCCGTATGTACAAGGGCCTTCTGTATTATAGACTTGACTCAACTACATCACAGGGAAAAACCACCCCGTTCTAAATCCTGCCCTAGGCTGCTCAGTATATGGCTAGCCTCACCCGCGACCCGGCAGACGACGGCTAGTGGACCCCGTCTGTGATGGTCATTTTTTTATTTTGACGGGCAAAAACCATCCAATGACTTTTCCCGCCTTAGGAGAGATGAGAGGTGAGAGGACTCTTATGCACTAAAAACCACCCCGTTTATACTGCTGATTCGAGCCGGAGCCTGGTAACCCGTTAAAGACTCTTTAATATCAACGCACCTAACGGTATTACAAATGCCGCCCTGTTCGTTTTACTATATCGAGTTATGTAATATCTAATTAACATAAAATGAGGAAAACGTGTACCAAAGACTCGACGACGGCCTAACACAAATATAAAATTTATATAATATCTTTAGAACACCATTCTAAGATCAGCCTTTACAAAAAGTACTCGTGCGTATGTGTGTATATCTTTAGAACACCATTCTAAGATTAGCTTTTATAAAAACTACTCGTGCGTTGGTACAGAACCATGAAGATACTCTTTACATTGTTTCTACTCTTCGTGTTAAGTATTGTGTTTACAAATGCGCAAGGAAATGTGAGAAAAAGTAAGCAACAATTACTTGTTATTAAATATAGAAAGTAAATTTTTAAACGGTTCTAATCTTAGATTTAAATACTCAAAAGTTTTTAAACCGAGTGAAAGTGTAGGAGAGCCATGCTTCGGCACGAATGGGCAGGCTTGACCGGAGTGATACCACGGGCGAGCAGAAAACCGACGTGAAGCAACGCTTGCGTTGTGTTTCATTGTGTGAGTGAGGTTACCGGACGCCCAATTACCCTCCCGTTCCCCAATCCCTGAATCCCCAACGATCCTTAAGGCATTGGCTGCCAATAAAAAACTATTGAAGGCAAATCCTCCGCTAATGTCGGTCACCAGTGACTGCCATGGCGTTTAACGTGTTAAACTCCTAATCCCCAAAATAACGGTAACGCACTTGTAACGCCTCTGGTGTTCCAGGTGTCCATGGGCGACGCCGATTGCTTACCATCAGGTGATCCGTCTGCTCGTTTACCGGTTTTTATTTAACTATATCCGTTTATTTGATTGGATTGAAGTCAGTGATTGGAATTACACCACCTCCCTGATGACAGATCGATCTGGTATTTGGTGCACACTCTTCTTGATGACTTATACCTCTACACTATTATAATCTATTTTTTTCCACAAGAACCTCCATTATGGATGAAACGAAACGGCTTCATTGGTAGAATTGTGTTCATTACACATTGACAGTTGTCAAACACCAAGCGGTCACCGGTGACCGCAACCTATTGTTCTATAATTGTGTCTATAATGACGGTACTCGACGAGTTAAACCCGTTTAACACGTTGGACGCCGTGTCGGACAATGATGACTAGGGTTGCCACCTTTTTCTTTCGTATTTAAAGTACACTGACGATTATAGGTGAGAAAAAAAAAGTACACAGTACAAAAATAAAGTACAAATTATTCTTATTTAGTATTGTATATGAAAATATATTTTTATCTCTTTTTGCAGTTTGTATTAAATTAGTACCTTTACTAAACCATTGCATTGAAATACTAGACAATTGCATCTTTACTAGAAATTGTATAAGTGGCGCTGGCAAGTTATCGATTCAACATAAATCGATAAATATCGATATCGAATCGATAAGTTTACCGAAAAATACTTACGACTTTAATAGAAATGAAGTTTGCAAAAATAAAGTATTTTCGTGTACTTTATTATTCTTATAAAGTATAGAGTACAATTACCTTAAATAACGTACAATACTTTATTATAAAGTACGGGTGGCAACCCTAATGATGACCGACACTAGCCGAGGCTTAGCCTTTATCGGTCTTATTAATAAAAATCTCCTATTCCAAACTTATTCACAGGTTAGTCTTGGACTAGCTAATCCCGGACTAACAAAGTATTAACTTCAGAATTGAATTCCTATTAATAAACATGGAATAACCTCGGAATAACAATACTATCCTTATAATAGGTTTAATCCTTTTATTATGGTAACCCAGAAATTTTAAAAGTAAAAAGACTGAGAAGGATGTATGAAATCCTATGAAACCTATGAAATCACTGCTTTATTGACAGATGTATGTTAGCTTGACATCTTGACAAGTTGCTGTCGCTGTCACTTTTGTCGAAATATTATTAATTTGTTTACATACATAATTAATATACAATTCACTTTATAAATAACGAAAAACGAGCGAAAAGCACAGCCGCGCTATTAACTAGCGCAAAGAACAAAATATAAATACTTCCGATGCCTGTTAACTATGGCGTATCTTAACAAAGAAAAAATGTCTTCATATTCTTTACATATTTTTAGATTTCAGCCATAAAATTATAACGCCTCGGTTTCAAAATAATATTTTCAAATCATTGAAAATAAATCTTTAAGCACAAACACCAACACAATCAAGATGAAAGAGTGGGAGGAAATATTATAAATATACCCTATACAAGGTAAGATTTTTGCAGCATTTTTATTTTATTCCATTTGTTCAGATCTTTGTTCAGAGATAATAAGCATGCAGATGCAGCCGAATATGTGGGCAGTGTATATTATGTTAACCTATAGTATCTGAATCACATAATGCTGTACAGTTATTTGGCTATACATAGCTACATTTTATCATATTTACATTCATTTTATGTATTTTTTAGGTTTAACGAGTTGAATAGCAGACGTGAGTTAAATTAGCTGAAAATTCAGTAGAAAGCCATGAAGATCAATGCTCGAAAACAAGAAGCTAAGGCAACAGGCCACTTGGATTGATATTTACCTCCCCATGGCCCTATGTTCCGATTGCACTCAAAACTTTCAAATAGGGTGGTATAAAGCCACCTCTGGCGTCACCAGCTAGATTATTTTTTACCATGTCAATAATAAAAACTGCAGAAAATCGGTATTTTGATTTCTCTTCTTCTTCACGTTACTCTATCTTACTAATATTATATAAATACGAAAGTTTGTATGTTTGTGACTTCTTCACATCAAAACGGTTGAAGGGATCGAGATGAAAATTGATACATGGATCTATTATGGTCTGGAACTGAAAAATAATACGAAGGCTTTTTATTCCACGGGAACGCGGGCGAAGCCGCTGGCAGAAAAGCTAGTCATACACACTTCTGTAATCATCTCTAATCTCATCAATTCTAATTCTCTCAATAACTCAGATATTGAATAAAAATAATATTTATACATTTTACCACGTTTTAGAAGTATAACTTTTTGTGTAAAAAAAGTTGTTGCGTTTTTACATAAAAATCGAATCCATACTAATGAGAAAGTGTGTGTGTCTGTTTGTTTGTCCGTCTTTCGTGAAAAACAAAGCGAATTGACGTGTTTTTTAAGTTGAGATAGGTACTTGAAGGGATAGAAAGTGAGATGGGCTACTTTCTATCTCTTTCTAGTCCCCCATTTCCCTAAAATGGTGGGTTTATACAAAGCGTTTCTATTCGCTATTTGTAACTAACAAAAAACTTAGTGGCTTCATATTTATACAAATCTTCCCCTAACTTCATAAATGAGCAGGAGCGAAACAGTGGACAATAGCTAGTAACTCATTATCTACACTAATATTATAAATAAGAAAGATAATAGTTCTGTCCCGGAAATTCCACGGGAAAGGACCTATGCTTTAATATTCCCATTGAACAGTGGTTTGCAACCCGGTAGGGGACATTAAATAATTTTTATCACTGATAACTCACTGGAATGACGGATAAAACCCATGTGCGAATGCTTATTTTTTGAAAAAAGACTTCATTTTACAATAAGTATATAACAAGTACCGAATCGATTTTGATAAGAATTGTTAAAAAGCATTAGAATTAACCTCGGAAAAGATTTATTCAAAAATCCACATTCTGCCAGAAGGCATTATAATACGCGGACGAAGTCGTGGGGTATAGCTAGTCTCGTACCTATATACTTAGTAATGCCGCAACGCAAGGAAATAGGTTATTATAAAATAGGTTTTATCTGATAATGCCGTACACCATTCGATACTGGTCATCAAAACCATATTGGAAATCGATGGAAACTCGGTTGTCAATAAAAAAGAAAAAAATATCTATCAACAAAATGTCAAAATGACACTAATCCAAGCTTACACCGTCGCTAAACCATGTGGCACCATGGACTAACTTTTACTCCCAGACTAACGTTGGAATAGCTTACTCCGACGTTACTCCTTGTTTATTAATACCGAATTTGACTATTCTGAGTTTATACCATGGAGTAAAGTTATTCTTACTCTATTCTATGTTTATTAATAAGAGGGTAACAGTTTTTTGTAGGCAGTTAAAGGATTAACATATAAAGTACTTTTGTATGTACATAATAACTTGTTTGGTAAAATATGTACCATCTGCTATGTTATGTATCACCTTGTTTATGAACCTCCTATCCGTATAAGTGTGTGTATTCTTTTGTATTCTGTCAGTGTTGCGTCGTTTTGTTCCGCGGAAAATCAACTTGCCTTAAGGAAAAGTTTCGATTTACTTATAAAGTAAAAACAAAAAAATAAAGATGATATTTTTCTGTAGTTCAAAAAACTATTCATGGAAATAGGCACATGAAACACTAGATGTAAATTTGTAGGCACTATTCGCATCGCACGCGCCACCCGACGAGAAATACCTCTTCGAGAATTAAATGACGTGATGTTTTGATAATGTACTTACACACTTACACACACTAATGTACTTACACACACTAATAACGTATACTTACACACACTAATGTACCTACACTTAGGAGAAGGTATATCTTATACTAGTATATAAAGCGGAAGAGTTTGTTTTTTTGTTTGAACGCGCTAATCTCCGGAACTACAAGTCTGATTTGAATAATTCTTTTTGTGTTAGATAGTGCATTTCCTGAGGATGGCTATAGGCTATAAAACATAACGCTACGACCAATAGGAGCTGAGCAGAGCGTGTGAAACAGCGCGGAAGTAGCTAGTACTGTATATAAATTAACCGACTGCTTCGTTGGCCGAGTGCTCGCAAGTGCGACTACCAAGGGCTCTCTGATTCGATTTCCGGGTCGGACAAAGTATTACCGAGTTTAAAAAAAAAATATCAGTAGTAGCACGGAGTCTGGAATTGTGCACGGTATATGGCAATAGGCTCACCCCCTATTACATGGGACTCATAACATAAATAGTGAGAAGTGGGTGTTACATTGTACAGTGGCATAATGTGCACCTCTGCCTACCCCTTCGAGGATAAAAGACGTGATGTTATGTTATTAATAGACTTTAAAAAAGGAGGATGTCAGTTCGACATGTATTTATGTATTTACATATGTTTATGAATGTATATTGGTGCGCGATTGGCTGAACCGATATATGATGCAGTTTTCAGTAAAGCGTTTGACACTTAGGAGAAAGTTACATAGTATATAAATTAACCGACTTCAAAAAAGAGGGCGTTAATCGTAGTTTATAAAATAATTATTTTTTTTTTTGTTTGATTTACTTTTTTATTTGTAGGGTACAAGCAACGGCCCCATGGCGGCCACCTGCCAGCGTCAAAGATACAATGTGCATACAACCGACGTCGTGGAGGTTAATAAACGATACCACGATATTAAACTAAAGAAAAAAAAAATGGCGGACATAGTGTAAATGTGATTTTTTTCACTTTTAATATATAATTTGGCCAACATAAACTTCAAGTATTTATTTGAGAAACCTTTTATTCGGCTGCAAACGACTAAACGGATTGTCTTTTTTTTTGTTTTCTAAATGAATGAATGCCATTTATTTCTCAGTACATGGTGCACAGAGATCTTAAAATTAACAAAGTTCCACACATACTACCGTTGTTACCGGTGTAGAAATATAAAATGTCTTAAGGTTAGTAATCGGTGCCACCCATGTACACCAGAACCAAAGAAGTTGCTAATGCGTTGTCAGCCTTTTCAAGGGTTTGAAGATTAGGGGGTTGAACAATAGGCTCACATAACATAAATAGTGAAAAGTAGATGATACATTGTACAGTGGCATTAAGTGCCGTAATGTACACCTTTGCTTACCCCTTCGGGAACTCCTCCTTTTGCGAAGCAGTCATGCTAGCTAAGGAGGAGGCGGGACGCGTGAGGCAGCAAATCGCCGCCTCCTCGCAACCCAGCCATCGCGAAGGACACACCGGACGTCGGGGATCGCGGGACGATCTCCGGCCACCGTAAGCGTGGGCCTGCGGACGGTGAGTATGGGTGGCTCCCCGTCTAACCAAAAACAGGCCCGAGCGTACTGCGCGTCGTGTTAAAGGAGGAGGAGGGAAAATCATCGAATGACTGCTCCCGCCTGGGTGAGGCGGGAGGGAGTGTCAGCCTCTTACTGACTAAAAACCACCCCGTTCCTTCTCCTGCACGTGGAGCCGGAGCCCCGGTTACCCGTTAGGTTGTCCGCGACTCCGAATCGGCATCGGCCCTATTGGGCCCCATCTGTGGTGGTCTGATGGCTCTTTGAGGTGCGCGCGGAACGCGACGCGCCGTACGTATATAATATATATAAGACAATGCCGTAAATCCAAACGTCGAAGGTAACCAGTAGCTGTAGCCAAATGCCATTTAGCGCTTGTCTACATGTAGAATAGAAAACCAAATTATATGGAATTTACTAAATTTTGGCACTTGTCAGTGCTATCCCCATACATTTAGTATTCTACTCTCTCTATAGACAAGCGCTAAAGTGGCGTTTCACTAAAGGCCCAGGATCGTTTACCACCAGCCGAGATAGCGGTCAAATGTCAGCCCACTAAATATAAAAAATATATATATTAACTCGTCGAGTACCGGTTTTGTAGACACAATTATAGAACAATAGGTTGCGGTCACCGGTGACCGCTTGGTGTTTGACAGTTTAAGTAGGTCACAAACGTTGACACTTGTGTCTGGTGTCAGACACAAGCTACCGAATAAATATTTGATATCTTTAGAACCAGTTTGAAATCCTCTGCACATACGAGTGTCCAGTTGCTTCAACTTAAAGCATACTCAAGTGTGGGAGTCATGCTTCGGTACGAATGCCTGCTACTCTCCCGTCAATAGGGATGATGACAGGGTGAGAAAAAATATTAGACACGTATTTTTTCATTTTGTCGTATAAGAAAACAATACTTAGATAAAACGAAACAAAGTATAGGAGTGGGAGGTAGCTACGTCATTTTAGAGTATAAATCGTACTCAAAAGTGACGTCATGCAATATTTCAAATCAATACATCTTCGAAACTATTCATTTCCGTAAGAAAATAAAGAATACGTGTCTAATGTTTTTAATAATCTACCAGACGGACCTTCAAATAAAATATACTCCATTGAGTACTGTAAGTGATATTTGTACCGTTTTATTCAAATATATAAATAATACACGACACATAATATAATATACTAGCGACCCGCCCCGGCTTCGCACGGGTGCAATATGCATGTATTATACATACAAACCTTCCTTAAGAATCACTCTATCTATTAAAGAAAACCGCATCAAAATCCGTTGCGTAGTTTTAAAGATCTAAGCATACATACGGACATACAGCGAAAGCGACTTTGTTTTATACTATGTATTGATGTATAAGGAAAAACATCGTGTGAAAATAAACAAAACCAATTAACATATTATATATACATAGAAATATTAAACTAGTGGTTAATTAAGACTTTGACTGCCAATAAAAACTGTTGTAGGTAAATCCTCCGCTAACGCCGGTCACCGGTGACCCCCATGGCGTTTAACGTGTTAAACATGATTTTATACAATTTAATCATCATCATAATAATTTAACATCACGCCTTTTATCCCCGAAGGATAGCTAGAGGTGCACATTAGGGCATTAATGCCACTGTACAATGTAACATCCACTTTTTCACTATTTATGTTATGAGTCCCATGTAATAGGGGGTGA